GTGTGTGTGTGTGTGTGTGTGTGTGTGTGTGTGTGTGTGTGTGTGTGTGTGTGTGTGTGTGTGTGTGTGTGTCCTTGAAGGACAAGGACCAGCCATAATTAGTGCAGCTACACACTGTCCTACAGCTGAGAACACAAGGGTCAGCACGAATCGCATTCACATAAAAACTCTGTCTGTGATAAAGATATATCCCAAAGGACTCAGTCAATGTTACATATTCCACTGATTCATGTGTACATAAATGTAATTAGTTAGTAATAGTAGATCTGTTAACTTTTTGAATCTAAACACTTGCAACATTGTCTTTTTGTGTTTATTCTTAACAGATTTGAGCTGTTGGAGGTGTTGAACTTTGATTCAGTGAGGAGGAGAATGAGTGTTATCGTAAGATCAAGCTCAGGTAGGATGAACACACACACACCTTTTACTTGCATAACTTTATCTAAATGGAGACATTCGATAATTTTACAGTTTTCTTTGTTTTTTTTACTTCACGTCCCCCAAAAGGAGATTTTTGTCAGATTCAGCTGACTTCTGAGTACAAATGTATCCTCAAAATTAAATAGGCACACACACACAAACACACACACATATTTACTTGGCAATCTAAATGAGAACAAACAGTTAATTATAATTATTATGCATAATTAATGTGTAATTATGTACTATGTAATTAATTCCTGGCCTAAAGAAAACTTTTGTCATTTTAACATGTTAAATTTTGTGCGATTAAGTATTTAAAATGTGCTAAAAATACTGCAGTTAATCATGCCTTTTGAACAGTATGTGAATAATTAAATTTTTTAATTCATTCATTCATTTTAATTGACATTCATTCATTCATTTATTGAGGTTAGTGATGTTGAGTTTTGTTTAATGAAATAGAAATAATACAAATATATGAACTTATAAGGCAACATTGTCATGTCTATCCAATGTTTTATTTTGCCACAATAATATGTCCTTGAATGATCTCTGGAAATATTGATATGTGCAGTTATTTGTGATTGATTTGATTAATCTGCATGTCATGTAATCAATTGATTACAATTTTAGAGATTGGCAGCCCTAATTATTCACTTTATTTATGAATGATTTTCCCATCTCAGAACATCCCCAAAGGGATTTAGCTAATGTCTGGGGATAATTTTGTCCTCAAAGCATTGCTGAGTAAACACACACACATGCACACTCATTCTGGAACTGCAAGTGACTGTTACACATTTCACTGAAAGTCTCTGAGTCACTATGTGCGCCCAAATGAAGGCGCCAGTTAATGCAAGTGGGTCAATGTGCTACTAGCATACAAATGAGAGCAAGATTTAGACATCTGTATGATTCCTGAATACATTCATTTACATACAATTGACCCTGATAACTTATGGTCTAATGTAAAAAGCTATTAGGATATTCTTGAATACATTGAAAGCCTGACAGCATAACTAATGTGCTAATTTAAAGTCAACATGTAACAGTGTTTGTGACCCATTTTACTATCATACTATGATGCATTTCAGAGGAGAACAGAAAAAATATATAAAATCTCAAAGACAAATAGGTTAGTTTGATTTCATGAATTACAGAAAAATATTACATACTGGTGGTTGTGCAGTTTCTTCCTTGTAGCTTTTAACACTTTGTGTTGATAATTGTTTGTTTGTTCTAGGAGAGTACTATTTGTTCTGTAAAGGTGCGGATTCTTCTATTTTTCCACGGGTGGTTTCTGGAAAGGTGGAGCAGGTCAGAGCGCGAGTAGAGCACAACGCTGTGGTGAGCAGAAATCTGAAACATCTTCATCTTCTTTCTTATTTTAGCAGAGCTATTTATAAGCCACAAAAGCTCCTTCCTAGATCTTGATGGAAAAAAGCTCCTCTCATATGTGTTTGCTTGTGCAACTTTTGTTTAGCATGAACGTCATCCTCAAAGAGAGCTGAAAGAGTACCTAAACATCACTGAAAATCAAACGGAGCAAAGACAATGTGTCTATTGTCTTTCTATTTATGTGTTCTCACACTGCGGCCCAACACTGATCTCATTAGCTTTCATAAGAGGGATGAGTATTAGAAACAACCATTATTAGTTTAATGTATCTGTAGGACCCAGAAGTCATTTGTACTTTTTGCTCTTGATAATCTAATGAATATAATGATCTTCAACTTGACAAATATATGGAGTCATTTGCAGAAAAAGAATATAATTATGGTCCCAGGCATGAGGAATGGATCTTAACACAGCTCTATGTTTTACTCACAGATCTGGGTCAGGAATGACATCACTTTAGAAAGGGGTTTGGTTGCACTGGTGTCTATGCTGATTCATGATTTTGGTAGCCATAGTGAAAAAGTTTCTGTAGAGACAGACAGAATTGAATCTTTGTTTTCAAGACTGTCTGCAGAACAGTAGTGTTTTATTAATAGTGATAATGGAAACTTTTCTACTAGAGCATTTTTGTTATTTATTAATCTACATTTCAAAGGTATAGCTCACCAACAAATAATAATTGTGTTATTATTTACTCACCCCCATGCCGTTCTAAACCAGTATGTCTTTCTTTTTTACGTGGAACACAAAATGAGACGTTTTGCAAAATGTTCACACTGCTCTTTTGCATACAGCAAAATAAGATCTAATAAGACAAAGATGTCCCCATAAAAATAACATTTGAGTGCATAAAACGTAACATTTGAAATGGGATGTATTGTTTAAGTCATACAGGCTTTTATGGAAACCTATTTCCACGACAGAATAAAAAGAAATTTTAAAATCTTTTTATCTCACAATAACAACAACTTTTTATCTCTCTGTTGTTGTTTTTTTTTCCTTAAAATTGCGAGATGTTAGCTCACAATTACAAGATAAAAACTCAATTTTGAGTCACAGTTACCTTTTTTGTTATTCCGTGTGGCGGTGGAAATAAGCTTCCATACTTTTTAGGAGCTTGGCAGCCTGTGGTCACCACATGATTCATTCTATTGAATAGAGCAGCGTGAGCATTCTTTAAAATATCTCCATTTGTTGTACCACAGAAGAAAGTAAGTCACAGGTTTGGAACTATACAAGGGTGAGTAAATATAAATAATGCTAACATTTTCATTTTTCTTAGCAACGGTATTGTTCTTTCCTTTATATTATGCTTATTCTTAGTTAAACCTATATTTATGTCCAAGATTAATGCTGTTTTTAGAAAAAAGAATGAATTCTGGAGTTGAATTTAGGCTCTTTTTGTAAATGAATGGACCTGGCAGACTACGCTGACACTTTTGTTTCAAATCTTTCTGCTGTAGGAGGGCTTACGGACTCTTTGTGTTGCTTATAAGAAGCTGACTCATGAGGAGTATGAGGAAACGTGCCGTCTCCTCAACAGCGCTAAACTAGCTCTGCATGAGCGGGACAAGAAACTGGCTGAAGCTTATGATGTCATCGAAAAGGATTTCATCCTGCTGGGAGCCACGGCTGTGGAAGATAGGTGAATCACTGCCTCCTGACTCACAGTCAATCTGATTAACATTTACCAAATACCACAAATACCATCTAGGTTTGATTGACTTGTTTAAAAATTCCTGTACTGAAGTGAATCAAACTTTCGATTTCAAAGTTGAGAACTTAGAAGAAGCTAACAGAGTGGAATCCAAACCATTTCATGTTCAGTATTCCTTTGTCAAATTCAGAGCGCAAATGCAAATAACTCTACCACTTAAAGGTACAGTAGAGACAGTGTGATCAAGATGTCTGAGACCAACAGTGGAAATAGGAAAAACTTAAAACTTAAAACTTAAAAATTCTTATTGTTATCCAGCATGATTTGTTTAGTTTTTTTTAAACAAATGATATATGAATAATAATTTGAGCAAAAAAATGTAATTGAAGAAAATGCTATTGTTGTCCAGCATGATATGAGACGTTTTTTATGTAACAATTTTTTTTTTTTTTTTTTTTTTTTACAAAATATGTGTGAATAACTTGAGCGAAATATTTTAGTATTGTTATGCATGGTGATTTGAGTATGTTCCAAAAACATCAAAGAGTGTTGAATTTTATTGTTTTATTACAGTCTAAGACTTGCAGTACATTCCCAGCAATTTACAAGTTTGTAGCTACACAGGAGTGACTATAGAGAATCAGGGAAACACTGTTCATTTTTTCAGGTTTTTTGTTATGGTAGTGTCACTTAAAATCATTAATTTGTGAATATGTAGATTACCATTCAGTAAGGGCCTCATTCACTCTCGCTCCTGCCAACTACGCCATCAAAAAATCCATAGTGTCAAAAAATGGAACCATGATGTCCGATACATTTCTGAGCAAGTCCGATATTGCTTTCCAAGTTGCATATTGCTGTAAAAAAATCAGCATGTTAATAATAACTTATGTTTTCCATAAATTGCATTATGCATTCGCCTAAATAAACAAGGTGCATTTCCCTGAACTGAAATGGAGAATGGATGTACATTAGCAATATTAGATTGTTAACTGGCTGAATGCCAAGGTTCCGATCGGCCCTACAACTGGATGGAAGAGTTACAGGCCCAGCGTCTGTTTGAAGCTCACGTGAGCACCTGCGGCCCTGACAGAACCAGCATGAGTTAACGTTAATTGCACAGGCAATCAATAGAGTCCATCCGTTAGGCTCCAGTGTCCTGATAATGAGCAGCTAATGTAATTAGACCCCCTCTTGAATCAATTGGGGGCCGGCAGACACGGTTCTGATGAACTACTGTTTTGGCTTATGCACTTATGGACGCCATCCAACCCAACGTTATAAATAAACACATCAATCCATGTTGGCCACCTTAATGAATATGACAGAGCAAACAAATAGTGATTACTGGAGGGGAACTTATTTTGTCAGGCTGTGTTGATTAGATGCAATCAGTGCCCTGTAGGCAGTTTCAAGAGGTCACTCAAGATCATGTGTTATAGTCAAATATACAGGAAGCTAATTTGATAAGGGGCAGCGTTAACTATTTGTAATGTTTTTGTTTTTATAAAATCCCTGAAACACTCAAGTCGACATGGCAATGGCAACAGATTTTACTTCTATAAATGTAGTTACATTTTTGTGGGCTAAAAGGTCCATTGTCTGTCATCAGTTGTGTAGCAATGTATGATGCACAGCTCACACAGAAGTCACATTCAAATCAAGCAGCTTTATGTTGGTCAATGCAGTATATTCACATGACCGACTTAAACCCGTTGCGAAATCTGTGTTAATGTGGTGACTGGACTTCACCCAAAAAAATTCTGTAAATGTCACTGCGCCCTTTAGGGTTGTGTTTCTGAGTGCAACATGATATTCAAAAAAAGAAGGGTGGGACATTATTTTTAGCTATTGGGAATTTTATTTCATAGAGAAAAGTGGGTGCTCTATAGCAGAATAGAGCCTGACTTGAATGCAAGACTGCAGTGGATTGTAGAGAGGATATAATCCGTATATTCACATGACCGACTTAAACCCGTTGCGAAATCTGTGTTAATGTGGTGACTGGACTTCACCCAAAAAAATTCTGTAAATGTCACTGCGCCCTTTAGGGTTGTGTTTCTGAGTGCAACATGATATTCAACAAGTAAAAAAAGAAGGGTGGGACATTATTTTTAGCTATTGGGAATTTTATTTCATAGAGAAAAGTGGGTGCTCTATAGCAGAATAGAGCCTGACTTGAATGCAAGACTGCAGTGGATTGTAGAGAGGATATAATCAATGTTACATTAAGGTTATTCAGCATTAAATTACTGTTAAACTAGTGTTAACTGTTGCCAAGATTTTAGGGAGGCTGCATTCACTAACAGCAGCCTAATACAATGCCTTAAATAGCTATTTGGCTAATGGGTTACATTAGTTTTCCCGCCCCCTTGGCCTAGGTGACATCATTTGCAAAGAAAAGTCATTTTAGAGACAGAGCATGTTATCATGAAGACGGTGGATTTTTTTTTTTAAATAAAGCACATTAATCTTGCACAAGAAGGCCAGGAAAGTGTATTTAAGGAAGCATATAACATAAAATCTGATTTTGTGTCAACTTTAAGCCAAGATTTTAAAATACTTACATTAGTTTTCCCGCCCCCTTGGCCTAGGTGACATCATTTGCAAAGAAAAGTCATTTTAGAGACAGAGCATGTTATCATGAAGATGGTGGATTTTTTTTTAAAATAAAGCACATTAATCTTGCACAAGAAGGCCAGGAAAGTGTATTTAAGGAAGCATATAACATAAAATCAGATTTTGTGTCAACTTTACGCCAAGATTTTAAAATACGAGCCAAATAGGATGTTGGGGAAGTCAGAAGGAATGTTATGACTCAAATAGAATGTTGCTTAACTTGGGGAATTTGTTTAGCTTCAATAGAATGTTGTTAAGTGAAATGCAATTCATGTTATTAGAATGTTTAATAGGTAGTGTAGTTGAACGTCTTGTGGTTTCTTCCCGGGAGTCTTTGTGAGAATGTCACTTCCTGCGTGGCTGGGCTGTGAGTGAGGTGCAGTGGGGGGTGGAGTCTTAATTTTCTGGCAGCGGTGACACTGTGAATCCTGACTGCTGGGCTGCTTAATTACTGAGTGAAGTGGGCTGAGACATCACACTGCAGTAGAAGACCTCCGTGCCACCGAGCCATGCAGAGCACTGTCCATTAACTTTCACTCCAGCACTGCGCAAAGAATAAAGCACACAGGATTGCTATATACTATGCCAAATCTTTCTGCTGCTACTATACAATTGAGACAATTGGGATGTCAAAGCAATAACTGCTTAATTGTCACTTTGTATATTTGATGTTGTTCTTTGGCTACTGTTTATGTCAGAGTGTGACATGTTAACTTCAAACTTAGATAGTTAGCTTCAAACTTAGTTAGAGAGATCTAAGATACACTTAGATAGTGTAAAACATTAAATTACACAGGAATGTGATTAAAACCGTTGCAAACTGAAAGTTTATTTAAAATTGCATTTAAAACTATCCAAACACTCAGGACTTCCATAAACGTACATAAGAAAGGTAATATGGCGATTGTCAACATTTGCTAAGGTCGGATTGGTCATTAGTTAAGTGACGATTCGGTGGTAAATAGGCACCCCAACTGGCTCATTATATCGACATTGTGTTAAATTTGTACATTGACTGCTTTTAAAATCATCTTGGTTGTCATTTTATGTTTCAGGCTGCAGGATAAAGCAGCCGACACCATTGAGTCCCTGCACAAGGCTGGTATGAAGGTTTGGGTCCTCACAGGGGACAAAATGGAGACGGCAGCAGCCACATGCTATGCTAGCAGGTTGTTCCATCGCAATACACAAATCCTGGAACTGACAACCAAGCGGACAGAGGAGCAGAGTCTCCACGACGTCCTGTTCGATCTGAGCAGAACTGTCCTGAGACAGCATGGCAGCATGACCAGGGACACTTTCTCAGGGTAGGTACAGTAGAATACATTTACGTGCTCACATAGATGCTCACACAAGCAGACACCTTCACACATACAATGATCCCCACAGGCTCTCAGGTGATTGCCAAGACTATGGTCTGATAATCGATGGGGCGACACTGTCAGCTGTTCTGAAGCCAACACAGGAAGGAACCAGCAACGGAGGGAACTATAAGGAGATTTTCTTGGAAATCTGCAGGAACTGCAGTGCTGTTCTCTGCTGTCGCATGGCACCCTTACAAAAAGCACAGGTACTACAGCACTTCAGTCTCAAAGAGTATGCACTAACATTCAAATGATAGGGGTAAGAGGTAAGGTTTTTGAATGAAGTGTTTTGAAATACAGGAAAAACAGTAATATTGTATAATGTGTAAAATAGTATACAGTTTTTTTAATTTAATAAAATCAACCAAAAAAATTTATTATATTTTTAACACATTTTTTTATTTAATTAATTTATTCCTGTGATGGCAAAGCTGAATTTTCAGCAGCGATTAATCCAGTCTTCAGTCTTGCTGATTTGGTGCTCAAGAAACATTTCTTATTATTATCACAGTTCTATTTTTTAAAAGCTTAAAAGAGCAGCATATATTTTAAACATGTTTTTGTTGCAATGTAAAAGTCTTTACTGTCACGTTTGATCACTTAAATGCATCCTTGCTGAATAAAAAATATTTCTTATATATTTTGTGTATTAAGCCATTTTCCTTGTGGGTTCCATTGACTCAGGGTGACTAAAGGTCTTGGTGTCTATTTGGGGACATTTAGTCCCCACAGTGATGATAAAACCTGACTCACACAAACACAGCCACCTGCCAGAGAACGTTTGTCCTCATTCCCTTATTGTAATCTCTCAGCTTGTGAATTACACGGCGCAATCAAAAGAGACTCTTTCTCGTTCTCATTTACTGCACGCTAAACCTGTCAGTCACTCTCTGGGGCTGCTGGGAAAACAGAGACTGTAAAGTCAAGAAGTGAGAGAAGTCACAGCATTACAAGACAATTATTGATGTGAAACGAATAGTAAAATCCAAATCAAATAGTCACTTCGTCTGAGAAAGGATTGATATGATCCCATCGCCTCAGTCACATGAGCAGCCAAAAACCCTGATTAATAATCTAATCTCTCAGAAATGAAACTGTTCTTTCAGATTGTTAAGCTGATAAAAGCATCAAAAGAACACCCCATCACGCTGGCCATCGGGGACGGAGCCAATGATGTCAGCATGATTCTGGAAGCTCACGTGGGCATAGGTGATTTCATGCTCGCATACAAAAACAAATCATTTTAGAAGTTATCCTTTCTCCAGAAAGTACATCTCTGATAGGCTTCTGTTTAACAACTATCAGCAATATCTTGCATGCCTATTGACTGTTTTTTCTGCCTCTAGGGATCATGGGTAAAGAGGGGCGTCAGGCGGCCCGTAACAGCGACTATGCAATTACCAAGTTCAAACACCTGAAGAAGATGCTGCTGGTTCACGGACACTACTACTACATCAGGATCGCTGAGCTGGTCCAGTACTTCTTCTATAAGGTGAACTCAAACAAACAAAATGTGTAGACACACAAAATAAATAAGATCATATCAAGCAAAATAGCTGATTGCTAGCTGACACAACACAAACAACATTGCCTGCGGTTGTAAACACTGGAAAAAAATGTGCTTAATATGTGTGGATGCTACTTTTTCCCAGGAGTTCTGACTAAACCACTGAACAATCTTGTTGAAAATGCAGCTTTAATGCAGCGCTATTTATAGCAAACAGAATTCACACACACGCAATCCCCCTAAAGGTTTGAGCACATCAGGTACTGAGGGTCTGTTTTCTCTCCACAGAATGTGTGCTTCATCTTCCCTCAGTTTCTCTATCAGTTCTTCTGTGGCTTCTCTCAGCAGGTAAATGCATACCTCAAAGTGTCTTAAAGGTCTATCTCTATTAGACTACATTTGAAATAGATGTTGAAATTGACATGTGGAATGTGAAAGTGCATGTAGTTATTTATCTTCTGTGCTTACACTGAACTTAACTGTTGATTTGCAGCAACTATAGCAAATTGGTTTAATTGTTTTCGTCCCTCTGCAGCCACTGTATGACACGGCATACCTGACCCTGTACAATATCAGCTTCACCTCATTACCCATCCTCCTCTACAGTCTGATGGAGCAGCACATCAACATAGACATCCTCAAACGGGACCCTACTCTCTACAGGTGAGGAACGTTTGGGTTTCACTAACATCCCCCTTATCTACACCTATGGTCTAAATGTGATGCGATAATTATACTTTAAACTTAAAGCATAGGTTTAAACAATGAGAACAATTCACCCAAAATGGAAAACCAGTATGGAGTTAGGTTTGAGTTGAAGTTGTTTTATTGGCTGATACGTGACGTGTGGTATGTGTCATCACGTTTATCTGTTCACTATTCTATTTCTGGGTCCCTCTGTGAGACCTACTGATAAATCCCTGTCTACACACTGGCTATTTATACTCACCTTGGCCTCCTTTTTGCATGGCTGTTGGTTCGCTGAGACTCAAAACACTCATTATTTCTTATCCTGAGATTTGTTGTCCCTGAGACTTCATAGCATATTCATAAAGCACTTTTGAAATACTTAAGTAATAGTGTTTTTATTTAATTATATATTTATTTTGCTTTTCCCACTTTAATTAAAACGCATATACATATTCAACTAATGCAAGTCATAGTGACAGCACAGCACTGGCCCATTCAGGGACCATTTAGTATGCTGATTCAATTAAAATTAAAATTAAAATAATCTGGATTTTTGAAAACTTTTATTTTCCTTGCATCATTTTTGTATCTAATGAACCGCCTGATGTAGCCCAATCTCACTCTCTATATTTTCCCCTTTATAAAATGTTCTTTCTGATTGTGAGCCTCCAGGTTTTTTCACTTAATCACATGAACACGCTGCTTCCAAATATGAGGCTGCTATAATTGGACAGTTCCATCAGCCTTTGGCAAACATATCTGCACAGACCCTTGCACTAAACTCAATTTACACACTACACTGGGCAGAAATACCGTTAGAACTGCTCTACATTTTATCACCAAATGTCCTGACACTGCATTTTTTTTTTCAATCTTATTCCTCTGCATTGCTTGTTCAATATATACAGTGTTCATTTACTGACACACAGTGTGGCACTTGTAGCCATCAAGGACATTCTCACTAGAAAAAGTGCTGATCTGATATATACTTTTTAATTTTTCTATATGTTTTTAAAGTAAGAATGGACAGCACAGCAGAAGTGATGCTTATTTTTTTCTGACCCCAATTTCACTTTCATTTGAAATGATCCATCCAAACTCAAGTGTGGTTTGAGACTAAACTGAGTTTTCATAGAGCGCTCAAAAATAACAATATCATCTTACAATGAAATGTTTGACTGCTCCTTTGCTTTTCAGTTTAGTATCGGTTGCACTTCATTTGGTATACATTTATACCAACAATACTATAAAAGACTACAAAACCTGAGCTCAGTTTGAGATATTCCTGAGATCTCTTCTGAAACTCTAAAAGTGGCATGTGAGTTTATTAATTTTAGAAGCAGAAACTTCAGCAAAATGCTAAATTAATTAATGTAGATTTTCCATTGGTTCTTCATTTAATCTCATTGTGTCAAGCAGAAACATGTGAGATTAAAGATACTTTTTATATTCTCCCCATTTTTCCTATATTTTCCTTCTTCTTTTTTTTTAATATTACACTAGGTTCAGTTTATTTTTAGTTCAGTTTTAGATATTATTAATTTCCATTTTGTAATTTTAATGCTTTAACATAAATTTAAGTTATTTGCCAAAGCAGCATTTCTAATTGTTTTTCATCTAATATTTGTAATTTATTTTAGCTTTATTTCAATGAACAATATTTTTAATAGTTTTTTTTTATAATAACCCTATACATGATTTAGAAATGTGTTGCTTATAATGTATTGCATGCACTTGTATGTTAAATGTACATTGTTAAAGGTCTGTAAAGTGTAACATTTACAATACAGTGTGGTTTTGCAAACGATATGCGATTTATCTTTATATTTTCATTTTCAATATCTTTCTTTTTACAGAGATATTGCCAAGAATTCCCTCCTGAGATGGCCCACCTTCATCTACTGGACATTTCTGGGAATTTTTGATGCCGTGGTCTTCTTCTTTGGTGCTTTCTTCCTTTTCGACAACACAACCTTCACCAGCAACGGACAGGTAACGCAGTCGCTGTCTAAACCATGATTTCGTTTTCACATTTTTCTGTGTGTTTTATTTAATCAACTTAACCAGCCGTTTTTATTTCTTGAGCTCATTGTTTTTCTCAGTCAAATAAAGCAGTCGCATACAGATTGAATGGGTGGCCGATGCTTGTTGAGTGAGTTATTTTGTGGTTTGTAATGTACAAACTTGTGGTTTAACTGCGGTCTTGATCCAGCTTGCAGACTTTTGTCTGTCCTCCTTTGCGTATGTTTGAAGTCATTACAGGTGCTTCCCCATTCATTTATGCGACACAAAGCATGCTGGTTAATCAGTCAGACCAGACATCTTTCTCTGTGCCATTAAGTTAAATCATAGTAACCTTTTTGGATTGCTTTTTTACCTGTTTGATTTACTTTCAGTTATAACATCCTAATTTTTTCTTTACTTTCTTGCTCCCTGTCCCCTCCCTCTCTTTCGTTTTCTTCTCTTTCTCTATCTCTTTTCCTCCTTTTACCTACCCCCCTTTTGCCTTTCTTTTCTTTTCTGCTTCTCTTCCTTTCCTCAGCTAATGGCCACCAACACACAGATGGTAAGCCTGTCCCTATCTGTTTCTCATCCTATTTTTAGTTTTAGTTTTACTGTTACCCTCCTCAACCCCTCCCCTCACCCTAAAGCCACTCCCACTCACATAGTGTCTGCTAACACTAACCGTTCACTGCCATCGTAGCTCTCAAACAGTCACTTACGGCATCCCAGTGTCCCCTGTACCGAGGACCAGCCACTGTAGGTATAGAGTAGCAATCCCCCCGTTCATCTTCCTCTGTCTATCATCTTGTGATCGAGTAGGAGTTTGTGTCCGTCCCGTGTGTCACGTTGCGACTGTGTTTTTTGCAATCCCCCGATTTGGAGGGGTGTTGTCATACTCATCCTCAACGGCTTGTAGGATACACATCCATCCTCTCATGACTCACTGCAAGGGCAAATGAAAGTGCGTCCACGTCTTTTCAGTGCTAATTTCCCGCTGCGTGTCTAAATCCTGACAGTAGTTTTTTAACGCCAAATGAGGGTTTGAGCTGACGCAAGCTGATAGTAAATCTGGCCCTTAATGTCTTTATTGTAAGTAGTTGTATGAAAAAAGGAGAAACTAATGTTTTTTTATATTTAATATAAATAATTATTATATCATGGTTGTTATTATTTTTATCATACTAATTAGTTATTTATTTATTGCTAAAAAAGATACAAAAACCTGATGTTTTGTGTATACATTTTATTAATAATTACATAATTGTATAGATTAAATATATTAATAATCTCTTAAGTACATTTATTGCATTGCATAGGGTCTCTCTTTCTTCTTGTAATACATTATATGTACAAATAATGTATTTAATAATGTCTTTACTGCAAGTAACAAAAAATAAATAAATATTTTATTTAAAAAAATATTTTAAAGGGGTCATATGATGCTGCTAAAAATAACATTATTTGGTGTATTTGGTGTAATGAAATGTGTTTATGCAGTTTAAGGTTAAAAAAACACATTATTTTCCACATACTGTACATTATTGTTTCTCCTCTATGCCACGCCTTTCTGAAAAGCGTCAATTTTTACAAAGCTCATCGGTCTGAAAAGCGAGGTGTGCTGTGATTGGCCAGCTATCCAGTGCGTTGTGATAGGCCGAATACCTCAAGCGTGTGACGGAAATGTTACGCCCCTACCATGCTGTGTCCCGGCGCGACAAGACAAAACCAGTAAAACCCATTATAAATGAGGCATTTGTTGCATCGAGTGGGGACATAATTACGGATTATAATGACTTATACTGTCTTTTTACAAACCATGTCTGCATTTGTGATCGGAGAAACAACAAACAACAAGCGCTACTCTACACTGCTCAAAACTCGCGTTTGAATCGTCAGTGGCAAATTCTTTAAATATGAAAACGTATTTACAGGCTGGGAGTCAGAACAGCCGGCATTGTAGTCTACTCTACCAGGATCAGGAAACAGTCTTCCATAAAATGTGCTGCACACATCTGGATATTTGGGTTGGAAGTGTTCTGGAACATTGTTGTAAATACAACTTAACCACAGAGTTCTAGTCGTGTCCTCTTTTGGAAGGCCAAACAAAGTATTTTCACTTTCGCAACAAAACACACAGCGTCTTCACACCCTGGTGGCGGTGGCAGCAACAATAAAGTTACGCCTTCTTTCTTTGCGTGAACATTTGGGCGGCGTTATGCAAATCTTCCCACACAGTGACATAGACATGTGGGGGCGTGTTTAAAGGAGGGCGTGGATGAGTCTTAACTTTTATAAAGAATATCTTTTTGGGTTTGAGACTTTAGTCTTTGCAACTTTACGGATCTTAACTATTCATGAACCGCTTGGCTTGTAACACTCCAAAGAGAAAGGAAAACTTGAAATTGCATCATATGACCCCTTTAAAATGATTTAATCTAAATTATCATTTTTTATTGTTAAGAAATAAAAGAACAGTTTTTTTCTCTATTTGTGGAAAGTGGCAAACCTATCATTAACAGAAGAATCATTATCTGATTAACCATAAAATTGCAAAACTGTGCTGAAATATCAAATTCATCAATTTGAAAAATCTTTCAACTTCTTTAAACATCATTTGCCCTTGACATGTTTTTGTTTTTTAACACTAAATTTCATTTTGATTGCTCATTAAGGTAAGTTAATGCATTTTCCTCAAACTTGTTGACATTTATTGTGTGGCCTTGTATTTTAAACTGGCAACTCATCATCATTATATTGGTCACTAAAACCATTTGGTGCCATACAGTCTTTGACCTGCTGCTTTGATTGTGATTCGTTTTTAAAGGTAAATATGCAGTGATTTTATAAAGAGCTCTCTTTATAGTGTTGATGTTGTTTTGCATAGTGTCATCAACAGTGTGGCCGGTCCACAGACAGGGGAAGGTTCTAGAAGAGAGTCCATTGTGTCTAAATTCAGCCATTTGCCAAGACTGTAAACAATGAGGGAACAAATCCTCCCAAAAGATACAAACGCAATCAAACAGAGAAGCTTACAGCACCCAAGGTTTATTGGGCCAATCTGCAAAACTGAATCCATTATAACATTTTAAGGGACTATCTAAGCTCACTATTTATTTATGAGGCTTTTATGGACAAAATATAAAATGCACATGACATCACCGAGCTCCAGACATCATTAATAATTTCTGTAAAACAAAGTGGAATGACACAAAAGTGCTTTCATTTACAGCACCATTAAAATAATATAATGCTACTATTTCTTAGAAATTTTTCACAAGCAATAGATTCAAAAGATTTTTAAAGGAACATTTGATGAGTGTCCAATGTTTATTTTTATATGCTGCTTTAATTTCTGCAATGATGAACAAGTTTTATTCAGTGTGACTGATACAACTAGATGCACTGTTATGGAAAACTGCTATCATATGAAATTAAAATGCGTAATCAACCATTAGTATAAAAACGCAGATTCTAAAATATGTTTTGTGCATTGATTAATTATATAAATATAATATATTAAATATAAATTACATCTGATAACAGTCATTATATTTTTAATATATATATAATTATAATTAATTACAGTATATTAATAATTTATTAGGTTATTTTATTACATTGTATAGGGTCTACAATCTTTCTGCCCATGATATATTATATATACAAATAATATATAATATAAATTCCTACATAAAAGAATGAAATCTAGAAATTATAAATGTTATTTTGGCTTTCATGATTTAGGTGAATATATAATATTTCTTTGTATTGTCTAGTATTTTCCATATCATGAAAAAAACAAAGTATTATTTTTGTTATAAATATATTATATACCTTTACCGGGTAATTCAAACAAATCTTTTTCTACCAAGTGCTACTGAATTGTACAAATAATGGCACATACGTTTTTAACATGCATTAACATGATGAGAGTGTGAGCTGTGCTCATTCGAGTGGCTATTTATGCATTAGCGTCAATCTCTTTTTGCCTTTTTCAATATTCCTCTGTTCCAGATGTTTGGAAACTGGACCTTTGGAACACTTGTATTCACCATCCTGGTGTTCACGGTCACGCTAAAGGTAATGCATCTGACACACACGTGTTATGTTGCCAACTGGTGTCAACTTCACCAGCTGTATCTTCCCGTTTCTCACTGTGTCTACGTGCTTTAGCTTGCCCTGGACACACATTACTGGACGTGGATCAACCACTTTGTCATATGGGGGTCACTGCTTTTCTATGTCATCTTCTCCCTCCTGTGGGGAGGCATCATTTGGTACGGCCTGCCCCATTACACACTTAATATCACTAAATCAAATACATTTGAATCTAACACGATTCCTCTGCTGTGTTTCTGTTCTTTATAGGCCTTTCTTGAACTATCAGAGGATGTACTATGTGTTCATGCAGATGTTGTCCAGCGGTCCTGCATGGCTCAGTATCATTCTGCTGATTATAGTCAGTCTGCTGCCTGATGTGGTAAAGAAAGTGTTGTGTAGAGCTCTATGGCCCACCACCACAGAGAGAATACAGGTACGACAGCACAACGCTCACTATCTACATGTGCATAGAGATGAAAAGCTACAAGTAGCTCACATGTCATATCTATATAAATGTGTCTATATTTCATTGCAGTAATAGACAGCTATTTGAAAGAAATAATGTTATGTGCCTATATACATAATATTTAAAAAACCTATGATTTCAGGATATTTTCTAGCTATTTTTTAATATTATATATTTGTAACATTTCTGCAGCTGAAGTGTATTGAACTGACTGCAGCTTTGTTTTAATTCTCATCAACTTCTGAATCGACCTAAAACGTTGTCTAACCCAGCTAAGATTCATTCTGCAAGAATACAGCTATTTAAAAGAAATATTTGTGTTCTTTTCAATCAAATAATTGTTGATGTGAAGCAGCTCAATAGTGCTCTTGTTTGTGATCATTGCTACTAACTGGTCTTCAGATTTACACTTGCGTCGGACTGGTTCCCAGTGTGCTTGATGTAAGTGGATTCTGGATGCAGTTCACGATTCTCTTCATTTGTTGATTTGTCTTTGTGTTGGATGACTCTTTGAGACATTCAGTGGTTTTATTTGACCTGTCGACTCTTTGTGAAACAATATATGACACAGTGAATACTGTGCACACATAGTATGTTATCATACTATGTTAAGAAAAATTTCAGAAGGAAATTGAATGTGTGTGTGTGTAAACTGCCTTACCACTGGTTTAACCCGTGTGATGCTTTTCCTTTCACTCATCTTCCCTATTAAACTTCCAGAGTGCTAATGTTATGAAATGTCATGTAAATGTATATTTAAAAAATACAGCATTTGTCTTGGTTAATGTACAGTAACTCTATATTTTTCAAATATTTTTCTATTTTTTTAAATAATATCTTGTATAAATTAACATTAATGTATTATGAATGAACATGAATTATTAAATTGTTAATTTATAAATGATCATTAAACTAGATTAATACATGCAGTAAAAACTGCTAAGTGTTCGTTTATGATACCTAATGAATGAATGTTATTGACAGTGTTAATTTAGTTTTATTGTACATATTAATATTTATAATTACCTTTTATTTTTCTGTTTACATTTAAATTTGAGTTTGTTTTAGTCATTTTGTTTTGTGCACTTGTCATTTTTTTATTTTTGTATTTAACTTTGAGTTTTAGTAATGTTAGTACTTAAACTTAAAACTTGTTTTATTTCAGTTAGGTGCCAAGGCAAGATTTAAATATTTTTTACATTTTTATTTCAGCTTTATTTCAATTAACAAAAAATATTTTTAACAAGTTTACGTTTTAGTTAACAATAACAATCCAGGATAACATGGTAAACCAGTTAAACGTTATTGTAAAGTTTTACTAATAATTCTTTAAGAAAAGAACCTTGAAAATGCTAAATCTAACCCTAACACTTGCACTTCCAGAAACTTTGAATGCTTTGAAAGCTGCTGAAGTTCCTTTATTAATCTCTGAGGATTAGACAGGTTGTTCACCTTTCTAAACCCTTTCTTTCTTTATTCCATCTCTCTTTCTCTCTCCTGATGCTTGACCTTCCCCTTCCCCTGTGTTTAACCCTTGACCTGTGGTAACGGCAGACAAAGCGGCAGTGTCTCACTGCTGAGCAGTCCACCATCTTTATGCTCTCCCAGACCTCCAGCAGTGTCAGTTTCTGAACTGAGCCGGAGGTGAACCTACACACTCTCTCTGCATGTGTGTGTGTGTGTGTATCAGTGAGCGATGACACAACAGGGTCACGAGTATGACAGACCTACTGAACATTAATGAGGCTCACATGCCAATAACAAGTGTTGCAGAACCCTGTGGTGTCTCTCTTTATGTTCTAAGCCTTTTATCACATCACGTGCATGAAGTGTGCATGTTTATGTTTGTACATGTGTATTTTATGTTGCCGATATGAAGTTGTTTAATGCATTTTCTGCTGCCATGCTTTCAGTTTCAGCAAGAGACTTCAAAGTCAAGACATAGTCTAGAAAATACTGTGCACATGGGTCTGTTATGCCACATTTGAGTCTGTTTGTGTGTGTGATGTTTCACAGAGAATGAGGGCTGACAGGATCTTTGAAAGGGTTGAGACAAACATTCATGATTCACTGCTAGATGGCGTTCAGAACACCACTGAGGCCTAGCAGCTCTATGGTAAAGAGAATGTGAAGTTGAAGACTAAAGCCAGAAAGAACTAATCGACACTTAACACAAGAGGAGCTCTAGAGTTCTCAGATGACGTGTGCAGTTCTAGAATCAATCTGAGAATTCCAGAATCCTGCTAATTGGCTCTTTCCAGTGAAAGCAAACTGGATTAAAATGCCTTTGGTGCACCTTCTGTGGGTCTGTTGTTTGGTGTGAAACCTACAGACTGGTTTGGTTTGGTTTTAAAGCTTCAGAATGAAGTTAATGGGTTGTGGTTTGGGGTGTGCAGTATATGCAGCTAACAGGACATGGGGACTATGGGTTCTTCTGACACATACACAAATACACACGGCAGGCTTGACATACAGTTTAACATCTAACACTTTGACATGCATGGGTATTTTTTCTTTTCTTAAATCCTTTTTTCATATTGTCTAAATCAGTGAAAAGATTGTCATATATTTCTAAATGTCCACCTTTTAATGTCCATTCCTAGAATGTGCTTATGATTGGTGAATCTCACAAAATTTGTGGACTTGTCCTGATGTTTCACTGAAAACTTAAAAGACAAAAACAAGAAATTATATTTATGCTTTCCTAAAGAAAATTACGTTTTTTGAATAGTTTCATTTGTCCCCCTATTATTTTGCCAAAAAAAAAAAAGATTATTACAGTTTTTTTTACAATCATTTATTAAAAAAAATTACAGTACATTTTAATGTAATGCCTTCTGAAAATTCAGCTTTGCATCACAGGAATCAATTACATTTTAAAATATATTAAAATAGAGAACAGTTCTTTTAAATTGCAATAATACTTCACAATATTACTGTTTTTACTGTATTTCTATCAAATAAATATGAATCTTGCAGAGCCTATGAGACTTCTTTCAGAAACATTAAAAATCTCACCAACCCCAAACTTTTATTTTAAAAATGTAACTTGATTTTGGGGTGAATGACCTTTCATCCTGCAATGGAAAAAAAAAATTCTCACTAGACTTAGCTAAATTTCTCTCAGCAGTTTATCCTGTAACAGTCTCTCAATCGATCAATTTAGCATCTTCTGGGACTGGACTTGTGCATGTGGTAAACATTGGATATGTGATTTTGTATGTAATATTTTGTTCTTTTTTCATTGCTTCTTGCTGGGGCTTTGGATTTGTGTTTTAGCTTGTGATGTGACCAGTGCCTGCATTTACATGCCAGTATACAATGCAATCTGCTAATTTACTCTATTTCTCACTGTTTCCTCATTGTTTTCTCCAGAATGCCGATAAGTTGTATAAGGGCCACCTGTCTGAGTTCACCCCCCTGTCCTCCCTCCATGCTCCACCTGTGCGGAAACACGACAGACATGGCAACGAACACCAGAAGCACACCCATCGCAGGTCTGACTCCTCCCCTCCCAAAAAACTGATGTGTACCTACTGGGGGGGCAGGCCTGACTACTGCACCTTCAGCTCCTTCCTCCGAATAGAAGAAAACCCTAGATTCTCTGGGGCAGCTTATACCTACAGCGCACCGGGACCCGAGACGTCCGTATAACAGTCTCGGGCCGTATAAAAGAAATAGTCTACTTATCCAATCAAATTAGCCCTCGGTTATTCCAGAGTCAAGATTGGGACACAATCCTGGCTTGTTACACTTTATCTGAAACAAAAGCACTAAAAGGCGTTCTTATGGTATACGCTAATGGGCTAGGGATGCTGTGTGTTAATTTAGAAGCTGGAGGAAGGCCAAACTGAATTGGCTGCACCATTTGGGAGTGTGGCGTACTGCGCTTAACGGCCTTGGGACCTATTTACCTTGTTTTTGTGTGTACGTTTAAATGTGAGAGTGTGTTCCTTTTACACTGTGGGTTTACGTGTTCGCTCACCTACCCTTGTAAATCCTTCATGTGAAAAATTACTTGAAACCTACACTGGGCAGTAGTAGCACAAACCTTTCCATCTCAAACGCAACCCCTACCACTAAATATTAATGTGGATTACAGTTAAAATGGCCTTGGATGCTCTCAAAACTGACTGTCCTGTTTTTTTTCTTCTTCTTTTCTTTGTTCTCTGTCGTCTCCCTTTCCCTTTTTTGTCCTGTGCTCCTTCTCTTTTCTTGTCCTACTTTTTTATAGAACAAACTGGTGTTGCCTTTGTGCAAACCTGTTATCGAGGAACACTCCATAGCCTGCGATTGTCTTTGTCCAATTGCATTGTAAGTGGCTAAATTTGGCCATTTCTGTTGCTGCACTGTACTAGAGAGAACTCGGTGTGTATGTGCATGTGTGTGTGTGCGAGTGTGAAAGTAGGCCTTTGTTAGAACAACTACAAGAAGACAAATTGTAACTGGACTGTCATTATGTTTCACCCTTAACTTTCAAAAAGGTGGAAATCCACTCATGTTCTACTGTTCCAAAGTTTGTAAAACCGTTGACTTGTGTCATTATGACAACCGGTTACTCCTTCCTAGCTGCTTGACGATTTGCTTTAAGATTCTGTAGTTCCTTACGTATAATCAGTCCTTTAGTTTTTTAGTGTAGAACCAGATACAGAATGCTAAAGGCTACGCTAGCCACCTTAGCTTGACTGTTCTGCCTTAATGCTAATGTTTCCCATCTTTTACACCGCAGTTTGGAACCAAAGGTTGTGAAATACGGAGTATTTAAATGTGCGTTAGTTGCCTTATGCTTAAAGAGAAATAGAAGGAAGGTGTTTGATGGCATTAGAAGAATCCCACCACACTGCCTTAAGTTGACATTGCACCAGTTAAGAATGGAGGCCGAAAAAAAGTAGTATTCGACATCATCCAGTGCCACCAACATGGCCCAGGGCTCCTGAAGATAAACTAATGAAATTTAACAGTTCTGTTGGTGTAAACATCTTTGTGCATGCACAAAAAGTACAAATTAACGTCCTCATCAGCATACTTTCATGATTGTATCGTCCTATTTGACAGTCCCCAAAGCCTTTTGTCTGTATTAATGTAACTGTTGGAGCCCTGTGCTGGGTTGCTATAATTTCTTTGTTGCACATTACTAATTTATGATCTGATATAAATAAGTAAGATGTAATTAACCTGTGATACTGTTCACGGACAACTCATTAAACTAACAGCCCAATCAAGGTCAGCATCACAGACGGCCTATCTTGGCCCCTATGTTCACAGAAATGGCTCTTTTCTAGTGTGCATAACACAGAAGATGAGCTTTTTAAAATAATTCTCAGCAAATGTGCCTCACACCTGTTTAAAATGACATTTTCATAAACATATTGTGAAGTGCATTCAATTCCATCTCCGTCTTGTCAGTGAATTCAAATTCACATTGATTTGATTTGAATTTGAATCGGGTGTGAATGCAATTCAGTTTAAATTCCAGATAACACTATAACAAATTAAATGAACCTGATGACTTACCTATTTAATATATCATTCTCATAAAAATATTGTGAAGTATGTTCAGTTCCATCTCCGTCACGTCAATGAATTCAAATTCACATTGATTGGAATTTAGTGTGAATGCAATTCAGTTTAAATTCCAGATGTTACACTGTAACAGATTGAACACCGGATGACTTACCTGTTTAATATATCATTCTCATAAAAAATATTGTGAAGTACGTTCAATTCTATCTATGTCCAGTGACTGAATTCAAATTCACATTGATTTGAATTGAGTGTGAATGCAAGTTTATATTCCAGGTAACACTGGAATGGAAATGGAACTAAACCAAACTAAAAATCAGACCATTTGATCATCAAAACTACATCCGTTTGTCTGCATGACTCTTTCCCTGCTGTCCTTCACATTTCATGCCATTTTTTTTTCTCTCGTTTTGTTTCTGCTCACATTGATTCTGGAATGTAGTGTTGCTTTCCTGGAGCATCATCTCTTCATCTCGACTTCTTTCTTCGCATGTGTTTCCTTCGCTCACCCTGTCATTCAGTTCTCGTGATGAGGCCAGTCACCCATTTCACTATTTTAACCATCATCCATGACAGAGAGAGAAATTAGGTGATGTCAAAGACCATCAAGACCACCGTTTTGATGGTTACTCCAAGCTTCTTGTGGGTAGGTGCCTTCTGGTGCTTTTTAACCTCAATGTATGTTCATGCGTTCCGTTCAGTGAAGCGTGCACATGCATGTGTTTTCATTGCCTGTCAGTCGGCCTGCAACAGAGAATGCCAGATTTAAAAATGTCATTATGGGTATAGCTAGTTTGTTAAAAGGTGTAAGAGTCATTTTTGAACAATGATGTTATAATGTTGATGAAATGTCACAGAATAGTAAAAACAGAATGTCCTTTTTCATGCACACATTATATCTATATATAGAATATATTGATGAGTATATTGATGTCAAAATGTAAAAAAAAAAAAAAGCTTTAACAGTCTGTTTTTTGTTTGATGATTTTAGATATGTTTGAGGTAGTTTTTAAGATGACGTGCATGGTCATTGCTCACACTGACTGTAGGAAATACACTCACTGTTGTTTAAAGCAGGTGTGACCAAATATTTGATTAGATGTCGACTGCTATAACTGAAGGCTTTATTGCCTGTAGTGGGGCTTCATCTGTGCCAGCCTATTCAGATTAACTAAATATCTAAAGCTTTTTTTGTTTTATCTGCACAAAGTGTGATGTTGCTCATAAATGTATTATATATACAGTATATATATATGTATACTACTGTACACTTTACAGCATATGTATGTAGTAATATTCATGTACAGTTTGGGCTCCTTTTGTATAAAGTTTTTAAAAGGTTGATATCTGTAGATATGTGAATTTTTGCCAGGTTTTTTTTCTGTAGCTATTAATGGCAAGAAAAAGTCAACATGCTTGTAATAAAGAAAGAGATTTAAATGTTTGAAAGCCTTGGGCCTTTTCTTATGACAGAAGTGACTGTCAGTGAAATATCACAGCAACTAGATTTGTACCTCACATTAAGAGGCTACTTCTTCTGGTGCTAAAGGGTTTGATTTAGCTCACCATGGAAGTAATAATGAAGAAAACCCAATAGCACATGTGTAGTTATATAATATGACCTCAAGGTGGCAGCAAAGTGTAGCATTAAGGTTGCTTCCAACAATTCACTCTAAATACAACCAGCTCCTTTCAGATTATTATTATAAATTAAATGTAAGGAATATATATATATATATACACATACATACATGGCAGTACACAAATTTGATCCTTTAGCTTCTGGTAGTTTAACTATTCGTTTTCGTTGGCGGAGAAGACTATACTCTTTATATGAATTACTTGTATGAAATTTAAAGTATTAACTGTTGTGTAAAAGCAATTTCACACTTGCAATCGTGCTGCAGTACTGAATATTAAAATTGGAAACAGTTACCTGCGACCTTGTGTCTACGATTATAGAGCCATGTGTTATTGCTTTTAAATAGACCCACATAAGGATGTAATTACTTTGCCATGTGTTGCTGAAAACCAGGTTATAATAATATTGTCGTATATCATGCTGATATATAGTCTAGTCAACACTCAACAGGTAAGTGTCAAAATAGCATAACTGACCATTTCATTCAATTAAAATCTATCAAATAAAGACTGTGGCCCACAGACACTGCTGGAGGTATCTTGAAGTTTCACTCCTCTGACTAAGCCTTCATTTAAAATGTTTAATGGAGTGTACATTTATGTGTTCTTAGATGTGTGTGTGTGTGTGTGTGTGTGGCCATGCTCATGGACTTGTGAAATCGCTCTATTAGATCTGAAATTGCTGTTATTTGCCAAGATTATTTATGAGTCATTTAACTTTCTGCACTCTCTCTCTCTGGCAGCGCTAGATGGTTTGGTTCATTATTGATTTAAAATGTCTTTCAACGGTCCAGAACACACTGAGGTGCTGCTAAAGACCTCTTCCTTGATTTGAGTTGGATGTCTATGATGTGATGACACTTCTGTTCGATTTGACTGGAGACCACCATGACTCCTGGAAGGGAATTTTGGTAAAGGTTTACAATTTGCAAAACCTTTCATCTAATTTATTGGTGAATGGATTTTAAACAAAGCTGTTTCTCGGCTGATTTACAATGCCCCTTCTGAGGACAACACCATATACAGTGTGTGTGTGTATGTGTGTGTGTGTATATATATATATATATACACACACACACATACACTGTATGTATGTACATACATAACATATATGGTACAGAATAAGGCCATTGGTTAAGAATGCAAAGAAAGTCAAGAACTGTGAAAGTATTCTTCCTAACTATTTAAAAATGTCAGGTTACATGCAGCAGGCTCATTCCACTCGCCCCATCTTCACCTCTACATTTCCGTGGCAGAAAGCATGTCAAACGACAGTAAAGATTCTGACCTTGCCGTCACAGTGGTAACCTCACAGTTGCCTCCAGCACTGACCTTGAGCAATGAATGCAGCAGAGAAGCGAAGGAGCAAGGAAAAATGAGAGAAAGGGTAAGCGAGTAGTCAAACGGTCCCCTCTTAACCTCTTATTATAAAAGAACAAATTGCTCTGAAATTTCATTTGATAGCGTTCCTAGATTTCTCTCGTTAGTTTTGAAGTTAGTTTTAGGATTTATAAACGTTATTAAAAATATACTGAAAATACTTTTTTCACATATAATCTTTCCACATTAATAGGCTATTTTATATGAATCATTCATGATTACATCCAGCCCATGTAGAATACAGCAGTTAAAACTGGACTTGGTCATCTAAAGAACTGTAAAATACATTTACATTTAGTCATTTAGCAGACGCTTTTATCCAAAGCGACTTACAAATGAGGACAATAATATAATAATTATAATAAATGACAAAATACATGCACATGCACTATTGATTTATGCAAAGTTAGTTTTATATATAAACCGCCTTTAAACTGCTTTATCAAAGACCTCCATTTGGTGTGTCTCTAAAGAGTGTCCACAAGGTTCTCCTCTGATGGATGAAGAAAGACATGCATGTATTGCAATAAATTATATCAGAGGATTACAGACATCACTTTCAAAAGCAAGGATGGATCAAGTTGAAAGCCATCTTGATTTGAAAGCCACTATTTGCATAAGCAGACTTTAGAAGATTGAATATCAAAAGAGGAATATGCTTTATTATATTCATCATATTAAAGGGCCAAAACACGTAAGTGATTTTAAAGACCAATATAGAAAATGAAATCCAGCTGGAGAAATATTAGGCCTGCAAATAAAAAGAACAAGTCTCCGTGCTAAAACAGGTTGTTCTGGCTCTTTTTATTGACACAGACACTGGATGATATTTTCAAATTATGATTGAACGTTTACTCTTTCAGAGTCCTAATAAAATGGATTTATTTTTGACAGATGGCCTTATTTAAATCCGCTGGTTTTGTCAATAACAATCTGTGTTGACAGTGTTCTGAATGTCTATGCACCTGTGAGAGACACAGGCCTATGAGCTACAGTCTGCATTATATAACCGGTTATTGATCTGTAAAACGACTGAACAGCCGGTTTCTCTTCAGTCAAAAGATGTTTTCCTGCATTGCCAGAGGAGGACGCTCTGCTCCTGACAACCACTCCATCCTGAGAGACATGCAATGTGCTAGACATGAGCAGAAAGACGAGAAACCTTTGTTTGTTGTGATTTGTTAGTAAAATTATTATTTTAACAACAACAAAAAAGAAAGAAATGCTAATTGTTCACAATATTGCTTGCCACTATTAAGCACACGGGGACAGGCTGTTGAAACTGATGTCATAATTTCAGATCATAAGTAATCTGGGCTTTATCTTTTTATTTGTATTTGATCATTTATCATCCAGCCATCATCACCTCTGAATGGAGTGTGTTTTTGAATCACGCAGACTTATCCATGATGAACACATTTACAGTAACAATAATTATTAAACATAACATGAAATACAACATCTTCCTGTAATTGTATCCAGTTTAGTTCACCCGAATTAACTGACCTATTTGTGTTTGTTGTGAGCATATAAACCAGTCCTCTAATTACTGACAGAACTAACGTTAAAGGGCTTCCGAAGTGTTGCACCTTCGATTTTACGCATTTAAGCCTAATATGAGCGAAACCAAGTCCAATTGAAATTCATTAATAACGATCATTCGTCGAAGTAATTAACATCCCCGCTGATAAACACGGGGACAATACCCTAATCAGCGGCCGGTCTGAATTTGACTACCCCTCGGCGCTCCGCGTGATCCGCGCAGCAGGCCTGCTGGGCCGTGTGTGGCCATGGCAACAGGGCGCGCCTAACTAACGACGGAATCCTTCACTTCGCTTTTCTTCCCGTCGGTCTTTCAGCACGGGGCTAGATTGGCGCTGGCCTCTGGGTTTGTGGGAACCGGGACAGCCCTCTTCAGGTCGACATTATTACACGGCCAATTAAGTTGGTTCAACGGGCGCGAACTCGAGCAAACAGCAGGGGCGATTGTTTTCCTCTGCCCTCCCCAACTAGCTTGCTAATTACTCCGTGGACTCAACTAGCTTGCTAATTACTCCGTGGACTCAACTAGCTTGCTAATTACTCCGTGGACTGCTCCTAACCTAGATGCATTTTGGAGGGCTCTGCTGACCCCGTCACCTCCCTAATTAAACCTTGGACCTCCCCAAAGGAAGTCAGAACGAAAGGTTAGGAGTCTTTAAACTGTAGGCCTAACGTTACATTTATTTTTGCATTACCAGACATCCCACCCTGCAAAAACTCATTTCAGGGAGGTAAGGTAGTACCACCCCCCCAGACCCCCCCACCCCAGAACATTTTTGAGCACATATTTGAATTATTTACAGTACACACCTACATAGGCCTACATTCATGACTTTAGTATTATGTTTTCTGGCTCAAATGGCTCAAAGAAATGGTAATGCAACTCTTACGCATGCAGTTCATTTGCAAACTTTCCTTGTTCTGTGATGTGGCTTGCTTTGCAGATCTGAGTGTTTTACTGGATGGCTCAAAGTCATAGCAGTCTGTGTCAATGACTTTATTCATTTTGCATGAAATAAGAGATAACTGTTTGGTCTACTTGGCACATACGAGACCGATCATCGGAGGATGCTCATTCTGTTGCAATTCAAAACTTACTATCATGGCCGTATAAGCCAGGGTTTGAAAATTAGTGAGGTGAGACAGAGATGTAGATGTTTGTGAAAGATGTTTTCTGTTTGGAATGAACACTGTAAACTGTTAGTGCATTGTTAATATTTACTATAGATTAGGGGTGGATCATTTTATCAGTTCTTTATTATTCATGCAACAATCCATATTACTGTTATAGTTTTCATTAATAATCATTGCTCTATGATAACTTTGTCTAGTGCTCTTATGGATGTTTTTAGCATGACTTTGTGAAAATGTAACAACTACTGAATAGAATAGTATAGACTTCTTCATGGCTAGGGATTGCGTATTTCATTTCATTCTGTTAACCTACTTGTTCTATAGATCTGTGTACTAGTGTTAAATGCTACTGTTTTTGATAACGTTGATAACGTTTCTAATAAATAATATAATTATATTATTTGCGTTACCCTTACCGAATGTGCTATCCTGTCAGCAATAACATGTCCATGGGCTCTTTTGATAACTGTCAGTGTAAGTGGCACTCTTTCCTCTTGCACGTACTCTCCCTTGCCGCCACGATTTCTGGGATATTGTATCTAATTTGCGGGCGTCAGGGAGCCACTATTAATATAAGGGAGACTCCCGGAGCTTCCTGGAGAGGTGGGATGTCTGCATTACGAGTATGCATTCATTCATCTATCTGTGTGTGTGTGTGTGTGTGTGTGTGTGTGTGTGTGTGTGTGTGTGTGTGTCTATGTGTGTACCTGTTTTTCTAT